AAGAATATTACTAAGATTAATTGCTGATCTAAGATTTACCGAGTGTATTTGTGAAGTGGTCATTATCACAGTATTGCTCCTTCTATAGTTTTTTAATATACTGTGTATATATCTAGTCAGTTCACATTGTATTAAAAAATTGATATCGCCAAAGCCGGTTATGTTATATAGTAGTTTAGAGGGTGTTCTATATTACAAATTAAATTAAACTTAATATATTTGTTTTGGATTATTTGTACAATATTTAGTAAATACTCTGCAGAATTACCCTAGCAAACTATACGGTATCTCAAGGCAGATTCAATAAGCGAATGATAGATCACTCTACGGTGGCTATCTTCTAGAAAATAACTGCCTCTTAGGGCTCCAGCTGTTGATGACAATTTTTTACAAATGTTTTGTGTTTTCTGCACATGTCAGCATTTTGTCTAAGGCTTAAAAGGCCAAGATAATTATATGACCCGACTTCCTTAATTTGTTGAGAATTTATGATCTTAGATACCATATAGATGATTTATTTTTTTTGCTTTAATGACATATATTCAGTCTTCTCCACATTAATAATTAGTTGATTAGTCATTAATCACTTTGAATATTCATTTAAATCAGTATTAATCGTTTTCTAGCAAAACGTTATTCTTCTTAGGGTATAATAATATTATCATCTGCAAACATAAAATATTTGGCTTTTAGACCTGTATACTTAAGGGGTTATATACAGTTAGAAGGCCGAAAAAAAGTGAATTTTTCAGAAGTTTTTCTGAGAAAACTTTTAAATTTATTAATCCAAAAATTTATACACATATTATGGTATCTTTTAACTATATTTTAAGACTTAGTACTAGTAAAAATATTTATTTGGAAAAGAGCTACAGCTGATCTCCGGATGCTCCTCTCAAAAAAGACGTTTTGCGGTGACCACTATAACTCTGAACTGGATCATCTGAATTTAAAAAACCAAACAGATTTCGTTAAAGTAATGTTTAATCTAGTAATTAATCGAAGGAATAAGCAAAATAAAATTTTTTGACAAAATGGCGGTTTCTCAAAAAAAAAAATCGATTTTTCACCGAAATTTCGGCCTTAAATTGTTTATAAAAACAAAAATATTTATCGGAGAGAAAAAATCTTCGATTAATTACTAAAAAATATATTTAAGAAGCTCGTGTTAAAATTTGAGACTAATCGGTTTAGCCGTTTTCGAGTAATGTTGGTCACCGACTTTGAAAACACCATTCAGAGAAAAACGCGTTTAAAGTTTGGAATGCAGTTTACATGGAATACAATTTTTTATTTTTTAAATTACATGGAGTCGTCTATTACAGACCAATATAATACACCCTGTTCACACTGTTGATTTACACATCTAAATACATTAGAAGGGAGCATTTACAAGGCAGGTGCATAAAAGGGTAGTCGCTGCCTCTCCGGCCTTGTACTTCCAAGCACTCTGAAACGCCTTTTCAAATTTGTGTGTAACTTTGAAAATATTCACCGGAACGATATGAAATTTTCTGTGTGTATTCTTAAATATATGTACATTAAGAAAATAAAATAAAAAAAAATTCGGTGTTTTGAAAATTCTAACTGTATGTAACCCCTTAACGATAAGTACATGTGAGAAAATGGCACTTATATATTAATAAAACACTTTGATTTACGCACAATGGTTTATTATAAAACTTCTAACAACATCCAATTCGTCTAACAAAATAGTAATGAATCAAACCTCCTCCTTTAAATCTACGCTGCTCGCATTTTTAATATAATTTGGGTATCCCCTCCTCATATTGATCGTAGATGCAGAGACACATAGATAGATAGGGACTTCCCCGGGCAGAATGATTTCATTGGTATATGGTTGCCTACGTTCTTTCAGATGTATGCTCACACGGCCAATCTGACACTTTAATTCGTTCTCGAATTGACCAGATCTTCAGTCAACCTGTAATTAGAAAAAAATCGCAGAATCGCTTCTAACCATTATTCTTAACATTATAGCAATTAGGCAATTCTTATAATTATCACAATTTTACAATTTCCCAACAAAACTAGATGCTAGCAAAGCGTCACTTAGGGCTTTCAACCAACGAAATGCAAAGCGTCTCTCAGGGCTTTCAACATTCCCACATTAATATTATGGCAAAGCGGCTTATAGAGCTTTCAACCAATCAAATGCAAAGCGTCTCATAGGGCTTTCAACATTTTTTTTTGTTTGTTGCACATTGCTATAATGATACTCGACGTACTATATGCTCACATGAGCCATTTAATTCTAACTTACTTTTATTTATCTGAAAATTCTCCTGGCCATGTTCGAACCATATCTGTAGTAACGATCCTCTTCCGGTTGGTGGTCAGGTTCTTCAGTTCTATCCGGTCATTGGGTAGTAGCTGCAAAACCTCGAATGGACCCTCGTATTTGGGATCTAGTTTCGATAAAATGAGTCTTCCCAGATGGATGGAAAACAAAATCACCAACTTCTATTTTCTTATTTAACTTTCGGTATTTATCAAACAATTTTTTAGAATATTCAGCATTTTTCTTAGTACGTTCGTATGCCAGTTTACGATCTCTTTCTAAATTACTATTGTTATTTACGGCTGTTGACGATATTGATTCAGTTAAAGCTTGTATTTCAGAAATACTATTGTTTTGACCGGTTAAAAGATAAGTTGGGGTGAATCCGGTTGTTTTCTGTACTGTGGTATTTAAAGTATTTTGCAATTTAACAATAACATGCGACCATTCTGACTTATTTATTTGGGTATCCCCTCCTCATATTGATCGTAGATGCAGAGACACATAGATAGATAGGGACTTCCCCTGGCAGAATGATTTCATTGGTATATGGTTGCCTACGTTCTTTCAGATGTATGCTCACATACATACAATAGATAAAAAATGGGTCCCAAGCCTTGTGGAACACCTATATTTGGCTGGCCCAATTACTACAAACTTCGTTTATACATACACAGAGATCTATTTGATCAATAAGTCTTTATAAGTTTTGCCATAACTTCACGAAATAATATAATGCCTTTGTCCACTGTTCAAAAGCTTTTTTTAAATCAATAAAGATTTACACTACATATTTGTTTAAATTTAGTTCATATTTTACATGCTTAATAAAGTCCACAATTGCATTTGAAGTCCCACTTTCGTATTGGAAACAATATTGATATGGGTCAAATTTAAAGAATTTATTTATGAACTGAACAATCCTTACGTATTACCTATCCTTATAAGTATTTAAAAAATATATAAATAAGGTTTTATTTTGATTTTTCTCAAGAAAGGGCCTATTATTTAGATTAGCTGGCACGTTTTGCAGTTCTTTCTATAGTGCTAAAATGAGTATTAAATTAATTTCACTGAAAACGAAAAAATATTGACCGTATTCAAAGCACTTTACAGTGAATTGAAGATTTAAACCCTTGTGGAAAGTATGGGCTTTATTCAACGTTGTGATGAATGAATGCCTATTGATAGATGGTATTGAGCACTTAAATACTTCTAGAAAGCAATAGCTATTTTCGCGGAGCTAATCCCGAACTAATTCCGGACATCCTAGGCATGCGCTTTTAAAATTTGGCGCAATGACAAATATTAAAATGCGCATGCCTAGGATGTCCGAACTAGTTCGGGATTAGCACCGCGAAAACACCTAATATTCATTTTTACATAACCCAAATACCTCCAAGTAAAAAAAAAACTAATAACATTTATCAGCACTAGATTTGTATGCTTGACTCAGGTGTAGAAATCAGAACATACACCAACTTTGACTGCAAATATTTCAAGTATTGAGAAGTATTGAAAAGTATTCAGCACCTTGATTTTCCTACATACAAACTGTATAATACAGTTCTCCTATTTATCACAAAATATTCAAAGATTATGCGGTTAACACGTTCACGTAAGATAGAATTAATAATATTCATCAGCACGAGATTTAAACGCTTGACTTGGGTGTAGAAATCAGAACATATATTTGACTGTGAATACTTCAGAGAGGTATTGAGAAACTTAATTCGTTGAGAAGTATTCAGGTAAAAACATCCACCAAGTAGCAAAGTATTCGGACACATGAGCTGCGAATATAAAAGGTCAAATCTTAAATAGAACCATATTCAGGTGAATAAAACTTAAATACGGACAATATTTTTTCATTTGCAGTGTTGCAATTTCATTTAAGTTAAAAACATCAACATTATTTATTCTTAAACGTATTTTTCCCTTTTTTAACTTATCACGTTTTATTTTACGTACCGTCTAAGTGAAAACTGTCATTCTTGCGTTCATCAATCTCAGACCATGTGTAATTTTTAAAGAATATTTAAAGGGGAATACAAAAAAAGTTTATATACAAACGTGCTCTTTTAGTATCACCCTTACTTCTTAAGAAGTCCCATAAGCCAACTGAATGGCTTGTGCGGGTTAGGGGTAGGAACGGACCGCGGGCTTAAAGTCCCCTCCGAAGGACTATTACACAATAGGACAAACACAAATAAACAGCCATACCCTTGGTGGGATTCGAACCCACGACCTCCGGCTTGTAGTCAGCTGCACTAACCACATGTCTAAATTATTTTGTTATTTAATTCTGGTCTTAAAACTGGCCCGGAAACCTTTTCTTTATCGATTTATTATAATTGTTTGATAACATTGGATGATCCTTAGACAGTTTATTTATTTATTCAAAAAGTGAATTAGATCCATGAATAGAAAGTAATAAGGTTCTAGATACAAAAATATTAGTAGATCTGTGAGTAGATCTGATTTAGTCGTTTTATTTATACATATGGACAAAGCCCCAGGAACTTAAATATAGTGGTAAAATCCACACCTTATGATAATACAATTTATAAGTCAGAATAGAATTGCTGCTGTCCTTATATGAAGGTTTTTTTTAACGTAATGGGGCATTTTAGACTGGTTATTTATTGACACATGCAGTAAAAATTATAGTTTATGATTAAAATTTTGTTTCTTTTAGGGTTCTACAAAATTCTATGGCTGCCACTTATGAGGATCAAGGCCCTATACAAAATTTTCGAATAGAAATGTCCATTTTCTACATTGTATATTTTGTAGTGTTTCCATTTTTCTTTGTAAATATATTCGTAGCCTTGATCATCATTACCTTTCAAGAACAGGGTGAAGCTGAACTACAAAGTGGTGAAATTGACAAAAATCAAGTAAAAATATATTATTATTTGTGAATCGTTGCAATCTTATTGTACAAATTTATTTTTCAGAAATCTTGTATAGATTTTACAATCCAAGCACGTCCATTAGAAAGGTATATGCCAAACAAAAGGAACGGCTTTAAGTATAAAATTTGGCGAGTCGTTGTCTCCACGCCTTTCGAATATTTCATCATGATGCTTATCGTTTTTAATACATTATTGCTGATGATGAAGGTAAGTCTATCTGTTTTCCAATAAAACAATAAACGAATAAAATCTAAATAATAATTATTTACAGCGGATAATTTTTTGATAATAAATATGTAATTAATTAATTAATTTGTCAAATAAAAAAAGTCGGCAGAAAGCAGATTAACACTATTATATAATAATGTTTGATGAAAAATTCACAGGACTAAACACAAAAACATTATTAACAAAAACACACACCGAATGCTGAAACTGCAATGTGCACCAAATCTCGATGAATATTCGAACAGCAAAAGCGCATTTAAAGCATTTTTATAATTGGTATTTAGGTCTATCTGTTTCAAAGTATACAGTATTTAATCCTTTTGCTTGCTAATATAAGCTAGGATGTGTATTTAAGGAGTATGATGTAGTTTTTATTAAATGTTTAAAATTGTATTCTATTAAGGGTCAAAATCACCAAGGTGGCAAATATTCCTTGGTAATGTTTAAGAGTTTTTTGCAAAATTGCATTTAAGGACGCATTTTTCAACGAACAAAAGTAGAAGAAATTTTTTTGATTTTTTTTAACAAAAATAGGATTAATTATTATTGGAAATAATGCATTTTATTGTTCTTGAGATTTTAAAGGTTTAAAATTTAAATATATATATATATATATATATATATATATATATATATATATATATATATATATATATATATATTGGATATTTTAGTACTGTAAATTTTGAACATTTTGCATTTTTGAAAATATCTTTCATTTACCTTATCGTTTTCTACTTTCATTTGATACTCATTTCGAACGCCACGAACACATATGCGAATATGATCCCCTCTACGTTCACGCGCCCCCACTCTCACTTATATCGGCCATGTTGTTTTACTTTTACTGCGATTATTTTTGTCAAATGTAAAGCTCAATTTTTTTACACATAAACTATCTCCAAGCAAAATATCACGTCGATCAACGGATCAACGAAGCCGTTGCTGTGTGAAAAATAAACAAAAACGAAAAAGGCCGTACAAATTCATATATTAGTGACTAATATGATTAATAAATTAAATCTAAATACTGTTGTAATATTGTATTCCAGCAATAGATTTACTTTTCAATTCACTGGACTAGACTCTTCCCACAAAATGCAAAGTATTTATTTTGATTTCTTTTTTATTCTACACAATTTTACATTATTTTCCATTTTTAAACTTGGTGATTTTACCTAATAAGATAAGCTAAGCTATTTTAAAACCTTTTAAACGGTTTTAGGAGTTAAGGATTCAAATATTGTTGATTTGTTTCGGTTGGTTTGCTCATTGATCGATTCATGTAAACCTATTGAACACAACTTATACTTATAATCAAAATGAGGCAAAACTCATTTAGATCTAGTTTTTCATTTAGCTCGTACCCAAATTTATAGTCTACCAATTATAGATTAGATATGTGTGAATTATTAACCAATTGGCGTTATACATCTATCAGAGCATGTTTGTAAACGTATTTGCTTCTATTGGATTTTACCTAAACTATTTATTGCTTTGGTTAAAGTCCATAATATTTTGGAAGTGTTTGTAATTTACTTTAGACAATGTTATTATAATCATTTTCAAACTTAATTAGACTTCAAACTTAACTATTAGAGTCTTACTCTTAAACTTTGCAACAAATAAATCTGGATTTTTGTATGGCAAGAAAAAATCCTGTGTTACTTTTTTATGTTGCACAGTGTAATGATCTTTGTTCTCTGAGAAGAACTAAAAGTGCATTCACGTTTAAGCATGTTTCTGTGTGTAAATGTAAACTGATTAAAGGAAAATCTGCACCATTGTGAATGTTTTGGCGTCTCGGATTGTTTGGCCAAATACTACAACATCAAATTGTTATGTATTGCTCTGGCTGCAGTGCACTTACGAAATACACATTTCTTTAATAATATGAACTACAAAGAGTTCTTATTTCAGTGGAACTTTAGTTAATTTTGCGAAATTATGATTATAATTAAGTAATTATTTGTAAAAGTTATTGCAAAATTAACAATATAATTTCTGAAAATCATTTATTTATTCCTATTAAACTTTACTGAATAGGTCCATGATTAGTGCTTTATTTAAAATAAAAAACAAAAAGTAAAATCTTGTATCGCTAATAATACGTTTGTATGTAACACGTACAATTAATATTAGGATTAATCATTACTTAAATTAGTTAGTAGTATTAATAATTTAAGAGTATGGCCACATTATGTGTTTTAACAGTATGACAAGCAAGGCGATACCTACACCTATACGCTTAAGTATCTCAACTGGGGCTTTACTGGCATGTTCACGGTGGAGTGCATCCTCAAGATTCTTGCATTCGGCGTGCGGGTAAGACCACGTATAAACAAGTTTTTCTATTAAAAATAAACATATAAGGGTGGATGGAAAAGTTATGGGTCTGGCAGATATTTGGCTAGTATGACCAAACCAGTGGTTAATAAAGTTAAATAAAGTAAACTTCGAGTGGCATTCTACAAAGTTTAAGACATGTGTGTTTAGTATAGTCCTTATCAATATTGCAAAATTAAATTAAAACACCAACGCGTTGCAACGTCGAGCTACTGACAACCCATTAGGGTGGGTCGAAAAAAGGATTTTTTGGAGTATCGAATTCTAATAGTGCGAAAAAGTTGGGTCTGCATTCTAACTAATGGAATTTTAATTAAAAAAATATACTTCGAATCTTCAGTTTGCGCAAAGTACCTAAAATTTGTAAAAATGAGGAAAAACATCAAATTATACATTTACGCCCAAAATATAGAGGCTTCTAAAAGCATCCAAGAACTTCGTTTTAGTCTTTTGATGATAGAAAAATTATATTTAAAAACTATGCGCTACTTTTTGAGTTTTTCTTGTTTACAATTCTTGTGCTTTGGGTTTGTGCTCTGTTTATACAGTTTCCAGTTTACATAGGCACTTGTAAGCCTTAAAAGAGGCCTTAAAGTACTAAGAACCATTTTACTCCTCTTTTGGAAAAAATAACATTATTCTATGAAACTGTCAAATGTCAATTTTAAGGTTAATTTGTGGGTTTGGTAAATTAACCTTAAAATTTACATTTGACAGTTTGATGACAGTCCTGACAGAATAAGGTTTTTCTACTCCTATTACGTAATTTGACCGTTCTAATATCACTTTTGTCTATGGAATGACATATATTCCGTAAAGTGCTACAGAATGAAATATTCTATCATCTGATTACAGAATAAACACTCGTGGCGACATCTCTGTTTTTAATATCTAACAAATTTTAGACCGATCCAATCTCACTTTCTTCCAATTAAATTATTTTTCTATGGTATTTTTTGGAAACGTAGAAAAAGTATAGTCTGAAACACGTTTGGAATTGCATATTCCGCTCTCGTGAAACCGTCAAACTCGCCTTCGGCTCGTTTGTCAAACTCTTCACTCGAGCGGAATATGCTGTATTCCAAACTTACAGAATATACTATTATTTTTTACAAAAGAGTAAAATGGTTACCCTTGGCCGCCGTTAAACTCTGTGCAGTGTTGTAGTGATTTTTATTATTTTTAGCATGACAACAGACCTTGTTGTTTGGATTGTGTTTCGACCCATATTTCACTGACTGATATCTTTTAATGTCAAACCAGACAGGGGCATATGACTTAACAATGTAATTTACCAGCATATTGAGTTCATTTGTAGGACTTGTTTGTGAAGTAAAAAACCGTAAGACACGGTTTGCACATGTCAGCCATCGGGAGTGTCCAGGATCTCTTAGAGCCAGATCTTTCCTGTTTGAATTACTCTGAAAATATTCAGAAGGTACTGTTGGTCTTTACAAAGATCAGTTTTACTGACGTTAATTTCATCTATTTCAATTACTTTAATATTTGCAATGGGTAATTTCGGTAAGTTTGCCGATTTTTCTAGAGAACTATGTTGGTCCTGTCTGTCCTTCTAAGTATTGAACAGCGCTGCAACAAGGTGTTATTACGCGTCAAGCCAAATACAGTAGCCTACTGGCCAAAACTCCAGACAGAAAAAACAAAAGGGAGTTCATCCTCTTTCATTCACTAAATTCAAACGTTTTAGACCTTTTGCGCGAACTCAAAACGTACCACGATGCGTGTTTTTGTAAATTGATAGAAACCCTAATTTTTAATTAATTTTAGGCTTGCGCGAACTCAAATAATTGCGCATAGTTTTTAAATATGATTTTTCCGTCATCAAACGACTTAAACAAAGTTTTAAGATGCTATTAGAAGCCAAAAAAGTTTACCCGTATATTTTGAGCGTAAATGTAATATATATGTTTTCGTCATTTTTTTTTAAACTTTAGATCCTTTTCACAAACTGAAGATTCAAAGTATGATTTTTTCCATTAATTATCATGCAAAGGCGCAATTTTTCCGCACTATTAAAATTCGATACTCCAAAAAAATCTTTTTTCCACCCACCCTACAACACATGTATACAATTTTGTAGAACAATATCTATATCTAGCACTTTGATCATACTAGCGACATCTCTGCTTTAGTCCAAAACTGACCGCTGATTGCCCCAGCAAAAACTTGCATTTTAAATAAAAAATACTTAATTTGTAAATGATTTTTTTTATTAATTTTTAAGTGTAACTGACTGGGTGATGATGCACGTGATTAATTACGTTATTGCGGCTTTTAGACCAAACTTGAAACTAAACTCATTTCGATTTCTTAATATGCATTTTTTATGGGTTTAGAAGGGAGAAAATTAACGCAACATTAATTAAAATAAGCTTTAGCACAAAACGTCTTTCGATATTTCCTGAAACGTAACCGTTTAAGTGACAATGGTCAATATCATCATTTACACTTTAAACAAAGTTTTAAAAAATCATTTAAGAACATAACTTTTAATTTTAAATGTAGGTTCTTGTTAACACACCCTTTTTAAAGTATTCAATAAAAATATTGTTAAACCATGATATTTTAACATTCTTTGATTGATTATTACAGATTTTATTTTTCAAAAATATAAAGTTACTTACACTATCTTTTTTTAAATTTATTATTTAACATACAAATATTTTTTGGTTAATATGTCGCATTTCTAATAAAATATTGGACTCAAAATAAGTGTTCATTAAATTGTATATATTCCAGTTGGTTATTTCAAATATTTATTTCTAATGAGTTTCCCATATTATGTTTATGTAAAATGTTTACTCCCAGTGCGATATGTACATAAAATATTTGTTTAACTTTTGCTTTGTTTCTTTTATAATAACCAGATAATATTTTTCCTGAATTAATAATTTTTTAATAAAGTAGAAAGATAAGACAATTCTAAAAAATAAAAATACAAAAATGCTAAATTATGCTAAAATCCCAATGTGACAAGTATTTATTTGCAAAGTTTATTTAAAAAAAAGTAATTAATTATCCAATACCTTTTAATATTTTCACTTTTACTTTTATCTGTGCATATCTCAAATTAATATAAAAAATAATAATTAAAAAAATTATTATAATAATGAAGCACTCCCCCTAAAACTATTAAAAAATCCAAATATCCCTATGAAGGATTTCCCCAACAAAACCTATCTAAATAAGCGTAAACCTCGTTCCAGTAAAAATCTTTAAGAAAGCTCGTTCACCTTCGCTTGCTGATGTTTGTTTGCATGGCGGTTTCGTTTTACTTGTAGTTGCATGTTTTCACATTTAAAATACACAATACACACAACGATGGGCCCTGTGGAACGTCTATCTGTTTGAATTGTTTCGTTTTTTTATTAATTAAATTGTACATATTAGATATTTAATGTACTTAAAGTATGTTTAAACAGAATTTTTGGCGAGGTAGGCCTCACAAAAAGGTGTAAAAGGACAATTAAAAAGTTTTTTAAACTTTGGTTACTATCTATTTTGATTATTTAAACATATGAGATGCTGAAAAAAACTATTTTACATAACAAGATCAAAGGGTAAAGTTTGTTGATTTTGTTCTGACGTGAAACACTACCTAGATAAATATTATTTTAAGTTCCACGTTAGTATTTATTATTAGTAGTATATATTATCGTGTTTAACCAAGTAAAACTTCCAATCTCTAAATCCAGAGGTTCAAAAAATAAAATATGGAATTTTTACATGCTTACTGTATATTTTTATTAAGGACATATAGTGTGGTCCCTTCTAGGTTGAACCATCCCAGAAATAGATTTTTGTTTCGCCCTTTGAAATAAACTGCGCACCACTCAATGTGTCGCGACCAAAAAGTTCGTCCTTTTTCAAAACTATATAACTTTTTTGTTTCTTAAACGATTTTATTTTGGTTTGTGATGTCTGCTAGCCCCATCCTCTGGCAATTCATGCTATAGATATGAAGCTCACGGTTCTTCAAGTAAATTTCGTACAGGGTGATATGTAAAACGGTAAAAATTTCAATAACTTCATCCAAGCCCCGTTTGTAAAAAAATAATTTTTTTCTCGTGTTTACTTTGAAATAATGAAGTATTATGTCTTACCTTGAAATGGTTTTCAAATTTTTCGTATTGGAATCTTAGCAAAGAAAATATGATTTTTTTTCTAAAAGAGTACATTTAAGGCTTTTTGATAGGCAATACACTTAGTCTTTTTAAGAACAAGGAGATAAGATGGTGAAAGATTGTTCCTTGAATAATTCTGAACAAGCGACAAGCAACAAACTTCCATTATTTTCAGAGGGGCCTAAGCAAAGACCACTTTTTCAAAATGACATTTTGGTGAAAATTTGCGAAAACTAATCCTGAACCGATATTTACGTTCGTAATAAGTTTTCTTTATAAATTTGACCTCCTGATTGTGATTCAGTTGTCAAATTTAAGTTTTAAATAAAACCAAAATCACTAAGAATCAAAATTCGAAAACAATTCCCTGCTGTTAAATTGGAAAAAAAATCATATTTTCGTTGCTAACATTCGAATTCGAAAAATTTGAAAAATGTTTCAAGGTAAGACATAGTACTTCATAATTTCAAAGTAAACACGAGAAAAAAAAAATTTTTTTACAAACGGGGCTTGGATGAAGTTTTTAAAATTTTTCACCATTTAACATATTACCCTGTAGGAAATTTACTTGAAGAACCTTGAGCTTCATATCTATATCGTGAATTGCCAGAGGATGGGGCTAGCAGTCATCACAGACCAAAATAAAATCCTTTAAGAACCAAAAAAGTTATGTCGTTTTGAAAAAGGACGAACTTTTTGGTCGCGACACATTGAGTGGTGCGCAGTTTAGATGTGATTGGAATTGGTTCCTAATTAAAATATAAAATATGTTTCGTGCTTAATTTTAACATTTTAACTGAAACCTCCTGTCAGAACTGGAATTCGGGCTTTGTTTATATGTTACATTTCAATAATATTCCTTCTAAAAAAATTAAAATATAAGTTCTGCGAGTATAATTAGACCACTAAAGTTATTTTTATCTAAAATAATTATTTAGTTTAATACAATGATACTACGTACAGATTTTCTCGGTTTTTTTTAAGTGTCCTTTTTCTCCACTTACAATTTGTAAATATAGACCTGCCGACTTTTCCTTTAAAAGAAAATGAAAGAAAAAAGTGTAAATTGAGAAAAAAATAAGTTTGTCAGGTAGGCGATTTCGCTTGTAGTGTAGAGTTAGGCTACATATGTAAGAGTTGTTGTAGTACCACGAGTCTCCGCCCTTACTGTCCGACATCCTGGCGGCAATGAATATTCTCTTTACTTTTCTCTTCTTATGTGAGACAGTCCTCAAGCTGATTGCCTTCGGTATTAAGGTAAGTTGTTTTATTTATTTATTTACAGAATATACATTATATTTCTATCATCCTTATTGTATTTTTTGTTGGGTTCTTATAAGAAATAATTTGAACTTTGAAGATTTAATAAGGATAACATGGATAACACAGTACGACAAAATTTGATTTTTGGTCCCTCCCATGAAAAATTTCTACAGATTCTAAAAATAGAGTTAAAAAAATGATACCCGTGTCTCGGCGTTTTTTCACATCACGTCATAATTTTTTTTAAGGGCTATCCAATAAAATGTTATTCACACTATTCGCGACATAATTTAATAGACTCGATAACAGCTGGACTGCATAGTTAAAAATATATATATTTACTAAATGGATAGGCAACCATTATAGATGCATTTTAAAATTATTTTAATCTTATACAGAGTTTTCCACATTTATATATATATATATATATATCAAACGGTTTATTTTTAAACCAAGTAACAAAATGTTTTAATTTTAAGCCAATCAAAATGCTTTAAAGTCGGGTGATTACAATTTTTATTTATTCAATTTTTTGTAAAAATTGAGCTTTGTTGAATTAACATTTTTAAAAAAAATTAAAAGATATTTAAATGAATTGATTTAAGTCTTAAAGCAAGTGTACCTAAAACATATTTAATTTAAGTTTTAAAAAAAGTATTTAAGTATACGAAGTCAATTGAAACAGCAAAAAAACAAAAAATTTACACATCTGCGGCATTTATACATAAAAAGCATTGTTTTCAAAACAATCTTTATACGAGGGTAATACTTTTTTTATATGTTAAATAAAAATTTTTCATATTAATTTTGATTGTTGAGTTAACCATCCATTTGAAATCAAAGTAAAAATGCAATGTCCGAATCGAAATAATTTTTGTTATGTATGTGGTTTATTTGCACCTCCAAGCCATATGCGAAATATTACAAAAAGTGTAGTAACAGCTTTTGAAGACTATTTTTTGGTGACGTATATACCAAACTTATGGTATGTACCAGAGGTTTTATGCGATTATTGTTACCGTTGTTTGCATGGATTGCAAGATAAAACACACAGTATGAAATATGTTGCACCAACAATTTGGCTTCGACCCGTCGCGACTTACCGAACACGCATCTGACCAGTGTTATTTCTGCATGTCAAAATTAAAAAGTTTTGGATTTCGGTACAATTCTAGAGAGAAAATTGATTACGCCGATGTAGAATCCGTCATTCTCGCAAGAGTGCGATCTGAAGATTATCCAACTGCTCCTTCAGAAAACATATGTGAGGATAAAAGTAAAAGACCTTTAACACCCAGTACAACCATTTTTTCCGAGATGGAATCTGAATTTATTCCCTGTAGTTCGGGTTATAAAGTACATTTTATAGCACAGGACATGAAAGTACATATGTTACTGAAAATACATTTTCTCCATGCTCATTTGGACTATTTTCCACCAAATTTGGGCGATTTTAGTGACGAACATGGCGAACGTTTTCACCAAGACATTTTAACAATTGAAAAACGCTTCAAGGGAAAAGACGTCAGGCTGCATCGCTAATGAGATTTTTTGCATTATTATCTTTTAATTTTTTAAGTCCTTACCTGCTCGACCTTTCGTCATGTCGTTTATCACACAAGCAACTGTGACGCGCCTTGGAGGGAGGCGAGGCCACGCCCCATATATATATATATAGATATATTCGGTTTTAGTCTGAACGAGCTGTATAATCGTCAAACTAAACGACCAAGATTTTATTCCAACATGTATTGAATATAAGATAAATACAAAAATGTGTTTCATTAAAAAAAAATAAAAAAAAAATATTTAAAAAAAATCAAAATATAAACTTTTTTTAAATTTGTTTTTTGAATTGTGTAAAAACATACAAAATTTACAAAAAAATATATTTTTAACCGAGTAAAAAATGTACAATCTGTATAAGCATAAATAATAGGAATAACGTCTTAAAACTTTTTTATGACGTGATCTCGTGAAACTGTGAGACACAGGTACGTTTTTTTTACCTCTATTTTCAAAATCTGCTAAAATTTTTCATGGGAGGGAAATCGTGTTGTACTGTGTAATATGTTGATATTCTGAAAATTCTTATCGCATTATATAATTTTTATGGTTTTATTTTAATATTACCTCTTTAAAAGCTTGACAAAGATATTTAAACAAAATCAACATATGAAAAAAAAATATTTTAGAGGTATATTTTATTGACTATTTCTTTCAATCTCAAATCAAATTAATCAAGTTAATTACCCTTTTAAAAAAATTACGCCAATGATTTTTTATTAATTACCGAGTTAAAAAATAAAGCAAAGCAAAGCAAAAGAATTGACCACATAAATATTCGTAAGTAATATCATAAGGTCATCTAATTTTTCAAAAAAAAATCGAAAAAACACGTTGCTAAGTAAGGATTTTTGCACCTGCACGAATGCATTTTGCATAGTGTTATTTCGATTTTTTTCACAGGAAAAATTAGATACCCGAATGGTATTTGACAAGACTATTTCATGAGTAACAGTTAACAATTATAGTATATTACACCACAAGGGCAGAAAGTGTGAGATTCCTGCACTGCGCGGCATGATGCCCGAGGCGAAGCCGAGGGCATCATGGCGCGCAGTTCAGGGCTCTCACACTTTCTGCCCGTGTAGTGTAAACTATTTTTCTTGCTACCCGGCAGAAAATACGGGAAAAAATTAAATGTATATAAAAAAACTTGTGTCAAAATTAAAATCTGACGTTTAATTTAATTCTGACGTTTACATTAAAAATCAATCAAACTGTAGCGTTGTCATGGTAATTCAGCGGTGCCAATACAGTAAAAAAAAAAGATTGTATTTTCATTAACAAATTACTACTTTATAACAAATAAAAGTACCATTAAACACTTAAAACAACATAAAAAGTAAAAAAGTAAAAACATAAATTGTGTATTTGTTGTTATAATTGCAAAATTATGGTTTAAAACTGTCATATTTTTGTGTTTCTCATGTTGGCAGCACGAAATTTGAATGTTAAGCACACGACTAAAAAATTTTTACTCTCGCTATTAGAGTGTGCGCGTATAGCTTGACCAATGCAAGAAACGTAAACTTTCTGCCGTGAAATCGGGGACGAAACAACGTATTTTGAGTCGAGGTAGTAAGAAAAAATATAAATTGCAATTTTTGGTGACAACAGCTGTCAAGTTTTGCCGCGGGTAAACTCGAAAAAACTGCTGACAGGTGCTGTCACACAGTTTTTCCACCTAGAAACCATTTGTAATTCAAAATTTGTTTGTGATTGGTGGAAATTAAGACGAGGGAAATATTTGTTAATATAAAAGTGACAAAAACTTTATCTTTAAATCAATTTATGCCGAAACTATTATGGTATAGGCACCTAATAAATCATTATGAGCTTGTAATTAGTTGTTAGCCTCAGTGATTGGTCGAATTTATTATACACCCTGATTTGGACCAATCATAAAATTCTACTTCTGTCAAAAAATTCTAACCTCACTTATTATTTTTAATATTGTACGTTTCATGTATCGTTTAACAAATAAAATTGCCCCCAAATTTTAAAAAACATTAAAATATGAAGATAAAATGATGTATATCATTTCGTGCTTTGCTAAGCTGATGACAGATAACTACCTACAAAGAAATAGTCAAAAAATATATTATCACATCGATTTTTTTTACAAAATGTTGTGTGCCCTTAGATAGGTAAATCGACTCCTGGAACAAATAAAAAATTCAACAAAATTTAGTTTCAAGAAATCAAGGATCTCTTGGAAATTTTTAAAAAAACTATTTTTTTCTAAAGTAAAGTGCCTTTTATGTTGCGGATATGACCAAAACTTATTTGGAAAAGTATTAGTCTAAGATCCCAAGTAAGGTCGACCTTCACCCATCTGCTTACCAGATGAAAATTATATTTTATCAAATAAAATATGTTTCTGAACATAAACCAATAGGGTTGCCATAAAAAATATGATCAAGGCTAGCTATAATAAATAAAAAATTAAAAAAAAAATAATTAATTTTTTAAATTTCACCGACTTGCTTGCCAAATGAACGAAATTCCAATGGAAAGCATAAAACATACAGAATATGTAACAGCTAGGTTGCCTACCTTTTTCTGGTCCCTATTACCTGGTTGCTTTGTACAGGGTGATCCCCTATAATGTCGCCCCCCTTTAACTTTTTTATTTTAAGTGTCCCAAAAAATTTAAAAGTGTGGTTATGTAGGAACTAAAAAATACTTTTTTTCTACGTATAAAGAAAATTGGAAAATTGATCAGTATACAGGGAAAACAAAAAGTTTATTTTTTTCAATGGATCACCCTATATATGAATTTATTTTTCAATTCCTTGTAAAATTCTAAGCATATTTCATATATCATACCATATACCTAAATTCAACCGTTTCTGAAATATTTAAATTATTTTTAAGATAATAAGTTGAAATAGTTTGTCTTTCTCTGTCTGAGTACGCCATTTTTACTTATTTAACAACACTTATTGACATAATGTCACTATGGTAATTTATTTTCAATAAAAATTTTGGTATACTGAGGCTTCTTGATTTCTAACAGTTTAAAAAAACATTTAATGATGACATTTCGAATGCGAATTTTTCAGAAACGGTTGAATTTAGGTATATGGTTTGTTATATAAATTATGCTCAGAATTTTACAAGGAATCGAAAAATAAATTCATATATACGGTGATCCATTGAAAAAAAATAAACTTTTTGTTTTTCCCTGTATACTGATCAATTTTCCAATTTTCTTTATACGTACTGTCAACTGGGGCTACATTGATAATTGCGGGGCAACTTTGATTACACATGTCAGAACTTTAATTTTTTTGAATTACTGCGCTAGAAAAAAAATGTTGGCGTGCTTTAACCCATCATGTGTTTTTCATTTGTCCCACGTTAACGAGGGTGTAAACATCGTGGTGAGTTTTGCCGCGCTTCTCGTACTACAATGTAATAAAGTTTACTTTTTGGTTTGTATATTTTATAAAGCTTCAGAAATTTCTAAAATACAGCATGATAAATAAAAGCCTATTTATTTCTTAATTTCTGGTTGTTTTTTTACGCAAATATGTTATTTTTAAAGTAAATAATTAAAATTTTTTATATTTTTTAATTTATATTATAATTGAACGGGGTTTCATTAGTTATAAGAGCAAAATTAAGGCATGATCAAAGTTGCCCCAAATGAAGTAAAACTTTGATCGGGGCCATCTTTTTTGTTTTTTTTATTTTTCTTAAAATTTAGTGAATGTCTAATAAGGTTTTAGATTAATCATATAACTGCCTAATATTTACCTTTTTTTGTTTTCAAATATCTCAACTAGTTAGTTAACTACTATCAAAAATTAAAATTATATTGATCAAAGAAGCCCCAGTTGACGGTAGAAAAAAAGTATTTTTTAGTACCTACATAACCAAACTTTTAAATTTTTTGGGACACTTAAAATAAAAAAGTTAAAGGGGGGCGACATTATAGGGGATCACCCTGTACAAAGCAACCAGGTAATAGGACCCAGAAAAAGGTAGGCAACCTAGCTGTTACATATTCTGTATGTTGTATGCTTTCCATTGGAATTTCGTTCATTTGGCAAGCAAGTCGGTGAAATTTAAAAAATTAATTATTTTTTTTTTAATTTTTTATTTATTATAGCTAGCCTTGATCATATTTTTTATGGCAACCCTATTGGTTTATGTTCAGAAACATATTTTATTTGATAAAATATAATTTTCATCTGGTAAGCAGATGGGTGAAGGTCGACCTTACTTGGGATCCTCTACTATATATACTTAAGTACCAAATTTGAAAATCCTCGGCCAATTATGATCAAAATCTGGATGCGTATCCCTAAAATCCTTGCGAAACATTTTTTTTTGTTTATTTCTTAAATTAAAGAGTTTGGGATATGGCCTAGACTTTGATTTCAAACAACTTTTCTAAATAACTTGACCTATCTGTTGGCCGAGGATTTTTAAATTTTCAAGATTTTTTAAAACTGAAATTACGTTAAAAATTAGTCTCTAACTAAGCAGGGCTGAACTCCAAAAAATAAAAATTTAAATCGTTTCACATATCTGGGGACACACTAAATAAATTAATATATCTATCTGGATGTTAACAATCTTTCGGAAAAATATAATTCATTATTTTTGCAATAAAATTTTATTTATAGAATATATTTTAATTATAATGCTTTCCACACAAATATAATTTAAAAATACAATAGAGAATGAAAAAATTAGTACTCCCAGTATATTTGTAGCTATCCTTTAATATCTTAAATATAGGTACTATGTATATTTTTATGTTCTTAAGTCTTTTGTAGAAAGTCACAATCCTTCTTAATGCATTGCGCTCATAATAACAGTTTTAAAATGAAAACAAGTAAAAAAAAATAACATAATATAAAATTTACAAAAAAATGTAGGTGTAAGTTTGAAATTTTTTTTTGATGTGTACACTGTACACTCATGGTAGAAAAAATGTTTTTTAGGTTAAGATTCTAAAACCAATCTTGGCTTTGTGTGTACCGACTTTAATACTTTATTTATTGCTTCCATTTCCAAAAACTGTTATAGTGTTTGTAGTAGTTGATATCCTTTTTCGTTATGTTTATGTACTTAGTAATGTAGTTAGTTTGTAACAACTCAATTAGACATGAGATTAGTTACAAAACGTAGCATATACCATATCCTAAGTCCCAACCAACACCTATAAAACATTTAAATCATACCTGTAGTAATTGGATCATAATAAAAAATAACCATTAAAATTAATAAAAAGCATAGATAATTACAATTTTAGATTTAAAAAGTAGCACCCCTTAACATTACTTAAAACCATAGGTTTTATATTATTTGGGTGTGCAAAAATATGAAACATGACTTTGTCTGGTTTATACAACATTAGTATAATTTGTAATGTGCAATTTAACACAGCTTTTGTATACTTATACACTTTGCTTTTCAGTTTCATTTTGGGGAAAACAAAAAAATCATTCATTGTGTTTTTCCGGCCAATTTTTGCCTTTTTTGCCTTTTTTTTACTTTTTTTTTAACTAATTGGAATGGAACGGAAGCGGGATGAACCCCTTATTTTTGCTTAGAAGCCCGAGTATTAATCTAGTGTTGAATAAGTTATGGTTTTGATTTCGACTAAGATTTTTATTTAAGAACACATCCAAATTTTATTATTAAAATAAATTCTGAGACTATGATTATACAAATGGTGTATAAACCTGGTTTTAGTTTAACTTTTTATGCTAATCAATTTTTATATCCACAGAATTTCTTCAAAGACCCATGGAACACATTCGACTTTGTGACAGTGGTGGGGAGTATAGTTGATGCGATGGTCGTTGAGTTTGGTGTAAGTATGAAATAAAATACGAATGAATACAACCAAATGCAAAAACATGACATATTAATACACGAGTTAACACATTCTAACATTCTTATTCCCATAGGAGGTTTGCGTATGGCACTTTATTTAAACAATTTTTGCATCTGTTTCTTTATGCACTGTATTTTTTATGTATACTAAAATGCTGTTTTCAATTCAAGGAGAGGGCTGCCAAAATGGCCAAAGAAAGGGTACGTCTGTGTTTATTTATACTTATATTTATATATTTTATAAAATATTGAATACTTACTTAGAGTTTAAAGTTTTTGTAATTCATTGATTAATGAATTAATTAGAATATCTTCTAAACTATTAATTACTATAGAAATATTACTATCTAGAGATACATTTTATGCTAACTGGTAAAAAGTAAAATAGTTCAAGGTAGATGGTCGTAGTAATTTCGAAAAGGTTAGTTTCTAAGCATGTTTAAAAATCAATTAGCACTTAAATTTATTTTATGAAGTGTTTGTTTCATAGACCCGGGATCTAGATCTTCCTGCACTTATAGGAAAATGGATGCAGGTATGTATTCTAAGTCTTTAACAAGCTGTTATTATTATGTTAACCAATTTTTCTATTTTTATTCAGCAAATAAACTGGATGGCTTTAATAACCGAACTATGGATTTTATAGAATATCTGCTTAAATATTGATTTTATATCTATCTGCTTTTAAATTTTTTTATACATACAGGGTATCCCATCCACCTAAATATGAAGGCTGATTTTTTTTTAATTTTCTGGTAATCTTGGGGTCTAAAGATCATACACCTTCAAGGTGGTGCGCAACTTTTAGGACACCCTGTATTAGTATTAGTTTTTAATTTTTAATCAAACCAAATAATTTTATAAATGTATACAGACTACATAGTACTAGTTAAGGTATGGTTGGCCCCCAAATTGTAGAGCTTTAAATTATATATTAAATATCGAGTGGATCATAATGTTAAGCGGTTTTAAATAAATAATAACAAAATCGAACTTAAAAAAATTACCTATATTGAGGTAAACATTAAAAAAAATCTTTTAAAACAAATAACATTATTTAGATGTGAGATATCGACTTTTTTGGGGATACTTAAAAAGTCGATTTTAAAAATCAGTCACAATACAAAATATTTTGGAACTTTTGCTTTTATCCGGATGGTTTTTTATGTAGGACTTTTGTATTTGTCCGTTGGATGTTTTAATGGTTTTTCCATAGATGTTGGGTTAAGCCAGACTTTGCAGTTTCTTCTTTTATTGTTCTTTTGGTGTAGTTGTTCTATGTCGGTTTTGTTTTCGTCAAACTGTTTCTGAATGTGTTTTTCGAGTGAAACTGTTTTTATTTCCCAGACAGCAATATGACGTCTTAATTAAGTCTGCATAAGCTCTATTTTATGATTTGGACGTCAAATACAACATCAGAAAGAAGTTTTATAAGAAGTTCTTAGGACTTCGAATGCGCCACCTATTAAACTAATCAAGACTTCTCAAAAAAGAACTCTTGAGGAATCCTTTTCTTTGATTTCGCAATTAAGCATTTTAAAGACTTCTACTGTATAAACTTATAAAAAGACTTCTTTAGAATTTCCCGTTTTGGATATAAAAGTACTACTAGGGTACTGATGAAAAAATTACTTACTGGATCGTTGCTTATTTTGACATGTCAAGTTTTATTACCATAAAACAAACGGATTTGTTAAATTGATTTTATTAAAATCATTTTAATAATTTGATCTTATTCGCTTATTTTTGGAATTACGATTACTTCTTCTCACTTTTGTTTAAATTCAAGCGTGCTCTTCACCGGCACCGATAGACGGCCTGTTTCGCTCTTTTGGAGCTCGTCAGTATCGGGTAGCCGTTTAACTAAGTCTAAGACCGTTTGGTATGGAGCATGCTCTAAATTCTACTTCGCCGCTTCTTATATCAAACACAAGCAGTTACAGCGGTGAGAAGAAAGTAATCGCATGAAAATGTCATAAATGTGACGTCTCCATGTTGACGTCTTAAAGAGTTAATATTATGATTTCAGTAAAAAGTAAGAAAAGAGAATACTGTAAGATATCATATAACTAAAGTCTTATTTATGATATCCTTAGTAATAAGAGGTCAGAAAAAAAAGATACTTGTCGGTAAGATGTTTCTTCGTACAGAAATCTTTCTGAATTGGATGCTGTCTGTGTTCAAGATGCCTTGCTTGACTTTTACCAAAATATTTCTGGAATTAATAATGTAATCAATAAAACAACGATAAAAATAAACTAACCAAAACCTTAAAACCGAAAGAAAATAAACCTACGGTATCAGATCTATTTTTTTCTACTCCTATTACGGAATTTGACCGTTCTATTATCACTTTTATCTATGGAATGACATATATTCCGTAAAGTGTTACAGAAATAAATATTCTATCATCCTATTACAGAATAAACACTCGTGGCGACATCTCTGTTTTTAATATCTAACAAATTTTAGACCGATCCAACCTCACTTTCTTCCAATCAAATGACTTTTCTATGGTATTTTTTGGAAACGTAGAAAAAGTATAGTCTGAAACACGTTTGGAATTGCATATTTCGCTCTCGTGAAACCGTCAAACTCGCCTTCGGCTCGTGTGACAAACTCTTCACTCGAGCGGAATATGCTGTATTCCAAACTTGTTACAGAATATACTATTCTTCATCTCTTCTAAAAATTCTTAAAATTCTTATGTATATAAAGTAAGCGCGTAAAACCCCCCCTTTTATTTTTGAAACCTCTTGATTTAGATATTGAAAATATTAGTATGTTAAACAACACATTAAATGAGAGGAAATTTTCAAAATGGCTTCGCAATGTCAAACAAAATTTCAGAATATTTAGTATTTCAAAATTTGGTGCGCTATCAAATCTTAACTAGTTAGAGTTTCTGTATACAAAATGAGTTTAAATTATATTTTATTTTAAGAACTAAAAATAAATCTTTAAGAAAATTTTATTGAAAAAATATTTATGGCTTGTTAAACTTAGAATACCTACATTATTTTTTAGCATGATTTAACTAAAAATGCATGTTGGGAGCATCATTTAAAATTATATTATTTAAACAATTGTGGTAAGTATTGTTACTCTGAATACAAATACACAATAATACAAATATATCCACAATACACACAATGATTTTCTTCAGCAATGCATTTTTGACACTGTAGGCAATACTTATATTAAAATTTTAAATTATCAATAATTGAAATTTAGGTAGAATTACAATTTTTACAAGTAGTTTTATTTTAGTAATGGATAGTCTTAATAAATTGTATAACTTTACTATTATTTTTTAGTTTAATTTGTGAAATACAATATTTTTTGTAAAATTTTTTTAAACACTTGAAAAGACGTAACGTTAATAAAAAATAATACTTTCAGGAAAATTTTATCAACGTTGGATTTTTGCGGTTATTTCGTGCTGCCCGTTTAATAAAACTATTGCGTCAAGGGTATACGATAAGAATACTGCTTTGGACTTTTGTTCAAAGTTTTAAAGCTCTTCCATACGTTTGTCTTCTTATCGCCATGCTGTTTTTCATCTATGCTATCATAGGAATGCAGGTATGTGACAACATTCCAAAAGTTTTGCCATTGGCAAAGTTTAATTTTAACTTTGATCAACAGGTGTTTGGAAATATTGCGGAAATGCCAAATGAATCTATTACCCGCCATAATAATTTTCGAAACTTCATTCAAGGATTAATGTTATTATTTAGGTAAATTTCCATTTCATCCAAAACTCTACTGTCAAACAAAAATCTAGTAAGAGAAGAAAAAAATATTCCCTATATTTTAAGTACAAAAATAAATAAAAAATATTCCGACAAGTACTTTTTGGGGTTTAAGCATTTAAGTTTAACAAACTTGGCAATGCTGTATTGTAACTATTTGGAATATCACACATCTAAAAAGGGTTGTTATGGAAAACAAATAATCAATGCATCTAGCCGCTATCTCAAGTTAAGATGGTTGACAGATGTATTTTTTGACAGTTTGTGTAAAAATCCATATAACTTTGTTATTATTGACAAATTTAACCTTTTTGTTTTTAACCCTTTTATTAAATAAAGATTCTAAAAAAATTAAAATGAAATTCAGATTTTAAACCCTTATAAGTTATGAGTCATAACTCAAAAACTACTGGCCGAGATTTTTTTTTAATTTGTACCTAAAATATACTGCATTCAATTAGCAAATACTTATTTTGATAAATATTTGATGTAAAAAACATATTTGTATCATAAAAAGACATCCTGGGGGTGTTTTTAAAATTCGAGAATTTTTAGAGAGCCTTATCAGATTTACAAATATTAATGGAGTAATTATTTCTCAAATTGGACCAACGTTGGACATTACCTCACCGATTTGGATAAAATTTTGTATACGGTACTAAAACAGACCTATATTTAACATGTTCAAATTTAAAGTTAAGAAAAAAAATATATTTAAGGAATTATTAAGGGGGGTCTTTTTTCAACTTTTTTTTTAAAATAAGAAAAATTTTACCTAAGCAAGAGTAAAAATGTATTATCATTGTAAAAAGCAATAAATACAGCCCCAGAATAATATATCTTTGTCTTATTTTAGTTCATCTATATGGCGGAATAAAGGCCAAATTATAAAAAATTAAATTTCAAAAAAGTATAACCTTTGATTATTGTATTCATATTGACCTTCAAAACTCTTATATAGTTTTAGTTTATACTCATACAAAATGTTTACAAAAATCAAAGAATTGAAAGTGATGTGGATATTATTATTATGTGGATATAATTATTGGATTATGCCAAATTGTACAAAAAATAAATAACTTTTAAATGAAATGACAAATATATTTGATATTTGGCAAAATTAAAGTTACCAATATACTCAACACGTTATCCAAATTTTATTATTCTAGCTTAAATAATAATTCTAATTAATTAAATTTTGCCAAATATAAAATATATAATCGCCGACGGTGGTCTACAAGCCGGAGGTCGTGGGTTCGAATCCCACCAGGGGTATGGCTGTTTATTTGTGTTGTCCTATTGTGTAATAGTCCTTCGGAGGGGACTTTAAGCCCGCGGTCCGTTCCTACCCCTAACCCGCACAAGCCATTCAGTTGGCTTATGGGACTACTTAAGAAGTAAGGGTGGAACTAAAAGAGCACTTTTGTATATAATTTTTTTTTTTGTATATGGGTTATTTCTTTTATAATTTTTTGATATTTTTTGTACAAGCTAAACTAAAAAGAATGTGTATAATATTCACATTTACGGCTCCATCGCTTTCTTTGATTTCTGTAAATATTTTTGAAAACTAAAATAAGATAAAAATATATTTTTCTGGGACAGTATTTTTTGCTTTTTACATTAATGACAAAATTTAAACTTTTGCTTTTGTAGAAGTTTTGGTATTTTAATTTTTATAAAGCTTTGCAGAGGCAAATAAAAAAATTAAAGAAAAACTCTCTAATTAATTCCTTAAATATTTTTTTCTTAAATTTTAATGGGTACATTTTAAAAACAGGCCTATTTTAATACCGTATTCCAAATTTCAGTCAAATCAAAGAGATGTCCAAAATTGGTCCCTTTTGAGAAATAATTACCCAATTATGTATAAAAGAATATAAGTAAATAAAAAAAATTTAATTTTTGGAAAATGTTGTGTTTAGTATTTAAACTGTAAATATGTTTAATCTTAACATACGTTTAACTGCACGGATATTTTTTTTATAACTTGCACATTTCACAATTATAATTATATATTAACTGACAAAGAAACTGCAACACTCAGAAGGAGGTGCTCGATTTAAATAATTATTTTATCAAATTTTGTACTATATCAAGAAGTAAACAATTAGAATTTGGAGTAAAAATACCAAGTTTTTTTATTAATTTTTTTAATAATGTGTTTGTCCACCGCGGTGTAGATGATCACGCGTGATTATCTACACACTCCCTAACACGCCTTGGCATTGATTGAATGAGGTGGTCTATTTCTTCTTGAGGTATATTATCTCAAGCTACCTTTACTTCATATCTTAGAGCTTCCAAATTCCTTAGGGGATAAGGTAAATTTCCTTCTACCCATCACATCCCAAACATGTTCTATGGGCGAAAGGTCGGGGGATCAGTCTGGCCATGACATTAGATTCACATAGGCCTCTTCAAAAAGTTCAAACTATTTCTGGCAACATGAAGCCGCGCATTATCTTATTAAAATATCCACAAGCCGATTAAGGTAAGGGAGAACATACGGCTCCGCTAATTCCTGAAGATAACGTTGCGCTATAATGTTGCCTCTAATAAAGACTAGAGGTGACCTACGTCCATGAGCAATAGCACCCCATACCATAACCAACTGTTCGGTGTACATGACGCTCAACATCAAACTGAGGTTGACGTCTTTCTCCCCGACGTCGTCTGACCCTTCTTCAGCCGTTATGTCCACCTAAGCAGAATCGGGATTTATTAGAGAAGACGACTTGATGCCATTCCACTTTCCAATGTTGTTTTGTATACTACTGTAGTCGTTGCCGTCGATCCTCAGCGGTCAGAGGTAGCACAAGATGGGGCCGATAGTGCTGCAGTCCAAAAGTCCTTATACGGCGGTAAACCGTTCTGACACTTAAAAGTGTGTTCTTCCACTCATCAGCCTAAGATCGAGTTGTCGAAAATCGGTCTCAGTAGGCCATAAGTCTTAGACGTCCATCTTGAACTTTATTTGTGCGCCTTCGACGTCCGGTGCCTACTCTTCTCCGGTTTTGGGTATTATTAAACCACGCTTGACAACATCTCATTACATTAGTTGGAATTTTGTTAGTGCGGTTGGCGATTTCACGAAATGAAAAACCCGTCTCCCGTAGACCAATAATTCGGCCTCTTTCAAATTCCGCGTACTCACGTTCTAGGCATTTTCACATTACTGAAACACCCAACGAAAAAAAAAAACCGCAAGAAACCCGACTAAAACAATGTCTCTGAATAGAAAATTGTTTACATGAGAACAACTGCATATTTCTTTACCAAATTTTAATGGTTTACTCCTAGCTATAGTACATAAATTTGATCAAATAATTATTTAAATTGGACACCTTCTTCTGTTGCAATTTCTTTGTCAGTTGTATCAGTTATATACTCGCTAATGCGCATAAGCAAACTATTCAACTGTTTGCCAAGTTTCTACCATTCTGCATTACAAACGCTTTTCCATTTTTAGGCCAATTTTCATTTCAAACAAGCTAAAAAGCCAAAAATAACTATATTTAAATCTGACGTGACGAGAATAACAACTCATATGTCCAAATAATCTCCAATATATTGTATAATTGTACCAATTAGAGCAAGGCATTCTTAATCGCACCAAGTCTCGAGATATTGAGATTTTTGTTTGACAGTTTCTGGCTATTATGTATCTATGTAAAAACTCATTTAATTTAGATGTGCTACCGGAGAAAATTGGCCAAGCATCATGTTGTCCTGCATAAAGAACCAACCGTGTGATCCGAATTCAGGAAAAGAAGCAAATACTTGTGGTTCAAACTTAGCCTACATGTATTTTGTATCTTTTATATTCTTTTGTTCGTTTTTGGTAGGTTTAATATTAAAATTTAAATATTAGTTTGGTACCTAAATTTTTCTTTTAGATGTTAAATTTATTCGTTGCCGTTATTATGGATAATTTCGATTATTTGACAAGAGATTCTTCTATATTGGGCGCTCATCATCTCGATGAGTTTGTCAGGATATGGGCGGAATATGATCCCAACGCAACGTAATTTTTTCATAAAATCGTCAATTTGAAACAAGAGAGCCATTTTATGTTTTATACTGTAAATAGCATATTCTCTTTATGCACCAGAGCAAATACTATGATAAAATCTTTTATAAATGTTTAAATTTCTTTGCTGTCTTGAACAATGCCAATAAACGTATTGGTATAAGATGCAAAGATTTAAAATAAAAGTATATACCTATTAAAAATTTTATAGACACTGGGTAGAGAAAAAATATTAATTATCATAGTTTTAATGACTTTCTTTTGAGAAATAAAATCCTCTGTCATTGCAGCACATAAGACCCAGTAGCATATTTCATATGATATTCTATAAAATACATCGTAGTAGTAGAAGATGTTGTGACCCTCTTGTTTTAAACTGACGTAATAAAAGAAAAAGCAACCAAACTTATTGTGTATATTTTAGGGGGAAAATACATTATAGCGAAATGTACGATATGTTGAAAAATATGGATCCCCCCCTAGGGTTTGGAAATAAGTGCCCAAATAGATTAGCATATAAAAAATTAATTCGAATGAATATGCCGGTGGATAACGAAGGAAAAGTTAATTTCACTACAACTTTATTTGCTCTCATTCGTGAAAATCTTAATATTAAGATGCGAACAGGTAATATTTCCGAAGGTGATTCCTAAACATAATTTAAGAATTTTTTCACAATCAAAACTTAAATATCCTAATATACAATATGTATACAAATATTTCAAAACCAACTAAAATCGGTTTACATTTTTTTTAATATCTAAAATATCCACAATGTTAACATTTTTTACAATGTAAAAAAAATCGGTTTGTGTCTAATATGATTTGTTGATACTAACTGGACTTAATTTTTGTTGCCTTTTTCTCAGATAGTTTTAGAAAAATGGCGTTTAGGAGTGTCTTAATAGTTTCTACTCAAAATGGATAGAGACCTTGTATAATTAACATAGTTTAACACTAATTTTATAAACTTTTTAGCTGAAGAAATGGACCAAGCTGATGCAGAACTAAAAGAGACAATCAAAAACATCTGGCCGCTTCAAGCCAAGAACATGGTGGATTTGTTAGTTCCCCCAAATGACCAATTAACTGTGGGAAAATTAAGCGTTGGAAAAATCTACACGGGCCTCTTGATACTAGAGAGTTGGCGGAGCACCAGGTTCGGACAACTGGAACCTACAGGACTGCCGGTATAAACAAATCCTTTTTCATTTCAACAGCAATTATAAAGTTTTTTATACTTATAATTGCTTTTATTTTTTACACTTTCTACTAACAAAATTACCTATACAGACTACATTTTAAATTTGCGGAACAGTATTTATGAATAATCACAAACGAAATTAATTTCTGTGGCCCAGATGTTTGTTAAATGTGATTGTAAGTGTTGTAAATAACCCTCTATATAGATGTGGTCTCTTTTGTTTTTAATTTTATGCAATTTTTAATTTTATAGTCTTTAATTAAAAAAACGCATTTTTAATGTTTTATAGGACAATAGTACAAGAGTAAAGTTGTTCTCTACATTTTACATTAAAAATAAATTTCTTACATCGTTATATCTGTTACAAAATGCAATTTAAGATAGCGATGTTCAAGAAACTCTGATAGTGAGGATCTAGAAGTACCCTTCTGAATCTCGTTTTTTTAGAGTTAGATTTTAGACTAATTTGTCATCAAATTCTCGATTAAAACGACTTATTTAAGCAGATTGTCTTTTAAGATAATTGTTATATTATAAGAACGTCGTATCTAAACTACTAAGAACAAAATAAAAATTTAAAAGAAGACACTTTTTTTGCTTCTTATTTTGTTATCTGGAATAGAAAATTAAATTTAACAGTTTTATACAAAATTATCATACATTAGATATACAAAGTATAATTTTTTATCAAAACTGCATAAAATAGTAGAAGCGACACCAATAACATTGCCCAGAAGTCGCGCACCACCTTGAACGGTAATGATCTACAGATCCCCAGGTATACCAGAAAATTGTCTTAAATGTACCTTCATTATTTAAAAAGATATGAGAGCGTAAACATCACAACACAGAGGTAATGATTGACAGATAAAATTCAAAATTAGATTCTGTCATAGGATTTCTGTTAAATATTGTGTCAATTTAATGTTATGTTCTGTAATAAGAATAAATAAATAAATTTATTTAGTTTGTCTTCATAGATGTAGTAATTTATGGCTTTATTAGATTCTGACAGCGACTCCTGTCAAGTCTGACGTAAAATAAGTAAAAAGGAACGAGTTTGACAATATTTAATATTGTTATTTGTTGTCATGATGATTAAGAATAAATCTTCCAATTTATTAGTACGAAATGTGGTCGTATATAATATCACAAGAGAACAAATTTTGCCGGTAAAAATTTTCTCTCGAGTGATATTCGACAAGACTATTTCACGAGAAAAAACAAGACAATTAATGCACCATATTAACGAAACATGTGATCTTAATTTATTTGTTAATATTAAATGTACACGGAGAGAAAAGTATATTACTGATTACCATAATTATAATACTCTTTACTATATTATATATTACTATTTGGGACAACTATCTATTGCCAGTTACTATGCATATTTAGTAATTTTTAAATATCCATGTATATTAAACCTTAAGGTTATTATTCTCAACCAATTTTGTTTTTAATTCTTATTATAATTAGATAGTAAATTTTAAAAATAAATATAATAGATACGTAACCCATAAGAAACTAAATAGTGTATTTTATTATTTTGTATAATACATTTAATTAAATCATATAGTAAATATTACTATTTGTAGATAGTAAAATCAATTTACTATACGAATATATTCAAAATTAAAATACGTATTATACATTTTTGATCTAATAATATTGGTGTTGTAATCTTTACTAAAATTGTATAATAAAAAATACTATTTCGTATTACAATCTTTATATTTTACTGACGAATATTTAATATTGTTAAACTAAACATTTTTTAAAGTAAATTTTAATATATTTTTTTAACTATCCAAAATTTACTATACATTTCTCTCCGTGTACAATTATTATATCGACCCATGCAACGAAGACTATAGTAACTCAAAAAACGTGGGTTTTGACTTACTATATGGCATCAACAGATTTTTTCAAGCTCTATTTGGTGGAAGATTACAGTAACTCAGACATGAAACGATAGGCAACCAGTGAACAACTTCCCTGTATAGTAAGTGTAATAATCAACATTCCTACAGGAAAAAACTATATTAAGTTGAGTTACTCTAGTCTACAATCAAAACTGAGTTACAATAGTCTTCGTTGCATGGGTCGATATGATATGGTAGTTTGCCCATTCTTTTCTATAAAAGCACGATTTTGTGTATTATTGACCTGTAGCATGTAGGAACTTGAAGATCCAGCTTCATTTGTTGTTCGGAGATTTTCGATCAACTTTTGGTGGTGACTAGAATCCAGCTACAGGTATGGTTTTAGGGAGCTTGCATTTGAGTGACCCAATAATTTAATTAACTCCTGTTCAGCAACACCTTGCTTAAACAAGGCTGACACAGCTGAAGATCGATGCGAATGGTTTGTTATTTTATGTTTTTTTGTGTCTATTCCAATTTTTTCAGCTGACATCTTTGTCCACTTAGATACGATGTTGATTTCAAGTGGACAGTTTTTGAACCAAAATCCATTCTTCCAGTTGGGGTGAACGGTAAGAAAAAGTCTGTCTGATAAAATATTTGGTCCTCTTTTTTCCATTAATTTCAAGAATAATCTAACTGGGCATAAATCTTCGTTTGATATATTTCTTACCAACCATTTGCTGCTTGCCAAACTTTTCGACCCACCTTGAGTTGTTTTCAAAAAAATGCTGTTGTATTCAATTCGGCCCGTAAATTCTCCCATATTATTAAATTCCTTCTGGAAAAAGTGAATCTTGCAGTTTACGGCCTCATTGCCTCTCCAAGCAAGTTCATATGAGCAGAGGTGAAAAAACTTTTTTTGATTTCTTCGTCGTAGCTTTGGATAATTTTTTCTGGAAAACTTTGAAGCTGCCTTCGCTTGGTATCTCTGGCCAATCTTGAACATTTGAAAGATATACCCGTGAAAGGATCGATTTTTATGCCGTATTGCGTAAAATATTTTTTTCTACTCCTATTATGGAATTTGACCGTTCTAATATCACTTTTATCTATGGAATATATATATATATATATATATATATATACAGGGTGAGTCATAAGTGGTGAACTTCCCGAAAGGTGCATGTAGGGGGGCCTTAATATATGTAGGGAAAAATGTTTAAAAAAATCTATCTGCTTTGGTACTCGAGTTATGGCCAAGAACTCAAAAGAGAATTTTGGCAACGTGTAAACACTAACAATGTTATAGGGAATTATTAGATTTCATTTTAATTGAAGTAACTAAGGAACTTATTTGAATTGTTACGTGCTTATATTGTTGTCATTACTGTCATACATAATAAAAGACAGCAATGAGACAGTTGTTGTGATTATAATACTTAAATAATGATTATTAAAACCAAAATCAAACAAAATAAAAATTTATGAAAAAAAATAACATAAAGAAGCATGAACAAACATTACAAAAATTGCTCGAATTGATGCCCCTGATTTTCCAAACACAATTCCAGTCTTCTTCTTGTACTAACTTGTACATGAGTCAACATTTCTGAATCAGCTGGATGATTAACTCATCGGCTTCGGGTACAATCTCTTAGAGGCTGACCAAGGTCAGGACCTGCCGTGGGAATTAGTCTCTCTAGCTCTGACCATCATCCATCTAAAAACTCCCGGCGATGGGTGGGTTATGTCAGCGAATCTTGCTGCGTATACCCGGGCTGCTTCATTGCAATTTTCTTCACAGAATCCAAGTACCAGCATCATATTCACATATTCTTGATTGGTGTACATTTTATTAAATAGACTCGACAAAATAATAACCAAAAAAATAAAATACAAACGTCAAACTTAATTTTCGCATTGTTAATTACAAAGACTCGACAAAATAATAACCAGAAAACACCAAAAAATATAAACGTCAATGTCAATTTTAGTATTGTTGATTACAAAGTTGCCAGATCATTTCAATTGTTAAAAAATTATTCTTAAACATTAAAATTAAAAGAAAATAAACTTTTTCGGGCAATTTTTTTGCTAGGAAATATTTAAGAACCCTAAACTCTTCAGTAAAAATCATATAAGGTGGAAAAATATTAAATAATAAAAAAGTTAAATTTAAAACTTAAGACCTGAATTCCTCGGTCACTTTTTCATTTGGAATTTTTTTAACATTTTTCCCTACCTATATTAAGGCCCCCCTACATGCACCTTTCGGGAAGTTCACCACTTATGACTCACCCTGTATATATATATATATATATATATATTCCGTAAAGTGAATGAAATATTCTATCATCTGATGACAGAATAAACACTCATGGCGACATCTCTGTTTTTAATATCTAACAAATTTTAGACCGATCCAACCTCACTTTCTTCCAATTAAATTATTTGTCTATGGTATTTTTTGAAAACGTAGAAAAAGTATAGTCTGAAACACGTTTGGAATTGCATATTCCCCTCTCGTGAAACCGTCAAACTCGCCTTCGGCTCGTGTGACAAACTTTTCACTCGAGCGGAATATGCCGTATTCCAAACTTGTTACAGAATATACTATTCTTGTACCAACCATTTTTGCAGTTAAATTCCCTTAGACTTTACAGATGACTCTTTATAGTCTTCGCCATTGCATTTTTTCATATTAAAGGCGTAATCTTTCAGAATTTTTGCTAGTTCCGTCGCGGTAGAAGGTACATTTTTCCAGTGTAAAATTTCTCACCCGTAGTAATTCTAAACATTGGGTCCAATTTTTTTATTTGTTCATCTAAATGGCACCCAAATCGTGAATTTGCGCGTGGATTCATTATTTCACAATGACGTTTGTCAAACTGGCAACAATAGAAGTATAAAACACCTTGGTGACGGATTTGTAATAATATCAAAACAACTTTAATTTTATTGTTTGTCAAACTGACAACAATAAAAGTACCAAACCATAATTTTGACGCTGAGAAATCACGGGCAGGAGTTTTGTCGTAAGTAATATAATAGGGGCATCTAATTTTTCCGAAAAAAATCGAAAAAACACGTTGCTAAGTAATATTTTAACAAGAAGTGC